GAGCTGCCTCAGTGGCATTTAACAACAAAAAACGTTAGGACTGGAACTGTGGTTGCCTTGGCAGGGCCAGACAGAATTATTTCACAGGCCTGATACAGCCCATGGGCTGGACCTTCCTCACCCCCTGCATTAAATGATCATTACTATCAATACCCACACCAGGGCTCCTCCTCAGACTCAGCTGTATTTTCAGACTTACCAGATTACCACAGGTGGTACTCACCTACGCAAGAAGCATATACGATAAGCACTCGTTTTTAGCAAGGCCATATCAAATAGCCCTCTTCTATGGAAGTCTTTAGCCGTAAGCATAACAGTACAGACACTTGATAAAAAGACGTTAACACATCATATGGTGGAATAGTCTGGTGTGGCACTGTCGGATAAGCACTGGACCACAAGGTCTGCGGTCCAAATTCACCCGCTGCTCCTTGGAAACCTTGTACAGGGTTGCTATGAGTCAGAACAGACTCACTGGCACTTCACAACAACAGCTACAACATTAAAGAATAAAGCAGATTGATGTGTGGGTAGATTAGAGAGAGGGGTCCTTCTAGGATATATTAAGGAGAGAAAAGTTGTGGTGCAATATGAATAGGTCTATTTCAGCAAATAGAAAGTACATGTCTCCACACCTGGATATATGTTTTGAAAACACAGAAAAACTTGTACAAGTATATAAGGATCCCAGCCAATTTTATATTTTATATTTTCCTTTATAGGATTCTGTACTGTGTTGTTTTTTTAATTAACTGATTGCATTTCAAATAACTGGCTCATCTTAAGCATGTAACATCAGATTTTATGGGGAAAGTGACCCATCTTCATTTGGGAAAGCAAAAAAATGTTTAAGCCCACAGCCATCGAGTCGGTTCCAACTCAGAGCAACTCTGTAGGGGACAGACTTGAACTGCTGCTCCTCAGGGTTTCCGGGACTGTAAATCTGTACAAGAGGAGACAGCCTCATCTTTTTCCCAAGGAGAAGCTGGTGGGTTTGAACTGCCAACCTATAGTTATTAGCCCAACATTTAGAAATAGGACTAGGACTATATTGTTAAGGGCAGTCAAGTTGGTTCCAACTCTAGCAAACTATTTAACATTAAGTTCTCCACATTGCTGCTGGGAATTGTAGTAAGTAAGAAAAATAAAAAACAAAAAAATAAGGTCAACTTTAAATCTTCTAACAGTTTTAAATCTTTCGGAATGTTTTCTTCTAGAGTTTCACATGACTGTATATATGCATATTTATAAAAATAAAATTCTTGTACACACTGTTTTCCTATCTTCTTCCCACTTACTATTATAGCTAAGACATTTATATTTTCCTAGATATAGTACTAAGTTCAAATGAGAGTCCAAATGCTCATGTTGTGGGAGAGAAAAATGGATAGGAAAAATATGAGAGGGCTTCAAAAATGTGTAGAAAAATCTCATTGTCTTTTCATTCCAATTTTCCATGAACTTTTTGAAACCCCCAAATTTCTGAATGAAAATTCTGTCTCTACCTAAAAGGGCTTTCCTTCCATAACTGGCCTCTCTGGATCTTTTTCATCATAAAAAGGAGAGGGAGGGAGGACTAGTGATTCTGTATCCTGCTTTGCTGTCTTTATTGGAGTCCTGGTGTAGCCCTGGAGTAGAAACATTTATTGTTGTTAAGTGACCTCGAGTCACTTCCGACTCATAGCGAGCCTGTATAGGGTTTCGGAGGAGCGGCTGGTAAGCTTGTATTACTAACCTTGCAGTTCAAACCGACCCTGAGGTTGAATACTTACCCTGTGGCACCACACTTGCACTTAACAACAATAACAACTATCTTTATGGTATTTGAAAGTTGCTTAATTGAAGTATGTGTTTGTTTTTATTATCCGGCTGTCTTCCACCATGAGCTGTTAGTTCTGTGAAAGCAGGGCTGCTGTTTGCTTGAAGCCTGTGACCTGGGGGACTAGCCTGGTGAATGGCACGTACTGGGCCTATGCTAAGCATTCCTTGAAGGAAAAGTCCATTTCGTTTAAGGATTCACATTTGTTCTGACAACAAAGGGCTCATCTTTTTCAGTAAAACTTGTGAAAGATTTTAAATATCAGCCATTACACCAAGTTGTTGTCACCGTTGTTACAGCTCTCTATCTCCTTCTTGAAGTACGCTCAAGCAAAGTATCTTAGAGCTCTTGTTATTTCTCCCTGCGTGTTTCGGTAAGCATCGCCTACAAACCAAGGGGGTTCTTATATAACTGACTCTGCAATTAGCATACTTTGAAATTCACAGTCATTTCTTAGTATCATCTCATACCTAGTCCACTGTCACATTTCCCCAGTTGTCTTCAAACTATCTTTCTAGAGTTGATTTGTTCACATCTGGATACAGACGAGAGCTACACATTGCATTTGGTGGGTATGTCTGTTAAGTCTCTCTGAATTCAGTCAGTGCCTTTCCCTCCCACTTGTTGGAGAACCAAGAAGTTATCCTGTAGACGGTCCACATTCTAGATTTGCCTATTCTTTCTTGATGGCATTTAACTTGTTTTTACTGCCCCCCAAATTTCCCATAAGCTGTAAGATGTAGGTTATATACTTTTAGGGTGGTGACTCGTAGGACTCTTACTTGTATGTATTTTAAGTAATGATCTCACAAAAAGATGTTCCAATATGCAGTCTTTGAAGAGCACTAAGTCTCTGGAGTTCTCTGAATGAAAGTTTTTGGAAATGTTTTTAAGAATTAAAAGGAAAAAAACCGTTTGGAAGTCAGTTGTTATTGCTGACACCCCTACTCTTCACCCCCCACCCCCACCGCCTTTTATTCTATTCAAATGTTAGAAATCTCTCATAGTAAACCTATCTTACATAATCTGTTTGTGACAGGAGTCCTGGTGTGGCGCTGTGAGTTAATGCTCCAGACAGCAAAGCCGTTTGAACTGCAAGGTCGGCAGTTCAAGCTCACCAGCTGCTCCTCGGAAACCCTATCCAGGGTCACTATGGGTCGGAACCGCCTCGAGGGCACTTAACATTTGTGACATGTCTCTGAATTCCTACTTGATCCTTGTTATATCCTGTACTGACCACAAGAGGGCATCCATTGAACATTTTCTAAGCATTGTTCCACTTTATCATCTTGTGTATTGCTAGCCTAAAACTGGCCTCAAATTACCCCACTCTTGTTTGATTAGTGTATTTAACTAAAGAAACTACACGTGTGCATATGTTAAAGTGACTTAAAACCTTGCCTCAAATCACTCATATCATTTCCTTAAGAACGGAATGAGTTTATATATATATATATAGTGGTGGTGGTTGTGTGCTGTGGAATCAGTTCCGACTCAGTAACCCTGCATAGGGTTTCCCAGACTGTGCATCTTCATGGGAGCAGAAAGCTTCATCTTTTGCCCGCTGCAAGTTAGCAACCCAACTCCTAACCCACTACGCTACCAGGGATCCTTCAAATACAGTGTATGTACCAAATCTAAGGTGATTAGAACAACATGATGCCAAAGCATCCCTCCAGAAATCAGTTGTTAATTACAAAGGGGAAAGCCTGTCTTGACAAGGGAAACGTCTTACCATTACCACCACTTCAGCCAAATGATCAAATATAAAATGCCTCCTTAAATAACCTACCAATGTCCTTGACGAAGGTGTCCTGGTGTGGTGCTGTAGGATAAGCACTAGACGGAAAGGTCAGTTTGAACCACAAGGTCAGCAGTTCAAACTCACCAGCCACTCCTCGGAAACCCTATACAGGGTCACTATGAGTCGGAACTGACTCGACAGCACACAGCAGCATCCTTGACTAAAAAAAAAGAAAAGTTGAACCTGAAGTGAACCAACCTATTTCCAATTTATAGGAAGTCCATGGTGAGAAAGAAACAAAACAGTACAATCAGACATCAATAATCTAGTATGGTTGGCCAGATAATTGGCCTGATCTCTTACAGAAAAGTCACTCTCCTGAGAAAAGAAGTGGAAGGAACCAGTCTAGAAGGAGAAAGAGCTGGCCAATTACAGTACTTGGAAAACTGATGATGAGAGGCCTGGTGTGGCGCTGTGGGTTAATGTGCAGACTGCAAAGCCTTTTGAACTGCAAGGTTGGTGGTTCAAGCTCACCAGTGGCTCCTCAAACCCTATACAGGGTAACTATAGATCGGAACCGACTAAACAGCGCTTAACAACAACAACAATAAAGGACTGCCAGGATGCTAATGATGAATTTAAAGATTTCAAAAAAAGTTTCACGAACTGTGAATGGAAATACGCTGTATACATAGAATATATATGTCGTTGTTGTTGTGAAGTGCTATTGAGTCAGATCTGACCCACAGCGACCCTGTATAGGGTTTCCAAGGAGCAGCTGGTGAGCTTGAACCATAGACCTTGCAGTTAAAATGGCTTTGCAGTCTGGCGCATTAACCCACAGCGCCACACCAAGACTCCAGAATACATATTATTGTTAAGTACGGTAGAGTCGGTTCCAACTCATATAGTGACCCTGCACAGGGTTTCTGAGGCTGCAAATCTTTACGGAAGCAGAAACCCTCATCTAACTGTTGACCTTGAGGTTAGCAATCCGATTCATAGCCACTACACTACCATGTATATATATATACAATATGTTATTTCCAGAAATGTGGTTTTGAATTTTGTAGGTGTAACAACATTACAGGCATTTTATTTTTCATCTGTATACCTAAAAGCTTGTATTTTTTAGTTGGTCACAGACTTTCAATTTCATTGGGCAAAATGATACGTTGCCTTAGTTGGCCATCTATGATCATTTTAACTGTCATCTTAAACCAGAAGTTTTATTTTAGATGAATTTGCACTTTTTGCTATCTCTTACATAACTGTAAACCCATAACTACATTGTAAACTGTTTATTTTTTGTTATTTTTAAGTGTGGATGAGGAAACCCATATTTTAAATGGGCCTTCATCTACTGATGATGACATAAATGTGTTCTCATTGACAATGACAAAAACATTTTGAGATTTTTGTCTTTCTTCCTTGTAGACTATATTGTAAAAATCATAGTGGAAATGATGAAAGGGATGAAGAAGATGAGGAACGAGAGAGTAAAAGTCGTGGAAAAGTAGAAATTGATCAGCAACAACTAACTCAGCAGCAACTTAATGGAAACTAGGTATGAAAGTTCATGCTATTGGATCCATTGTCGGGTTACAATAGACATTGATCAATGCAGTAAGACTTTAATGCTAATATGTTTAGTTAGGAGCATGTTAGTAGAATGCAGAAGATTGTGTAGGCTTGCACAGTTTGTTGTTTTGTTTTCTAAGTAGCTGATTTTGTAACAGTTAAAAAGAAACTATTCACTTTATCAATAAATGTAGTTTTAAGTAAAATCAATAAGATATTCTCACTCCTCAATAACATATTTATTGTTTCTTCCCCTCAAGCATCATATTTTACATTTTTTTATCATCTTTTGAACAGGTTCATGGGACAGAGTTAGAAAACTGGGAATGAATAAGACATCCATAACTACTATTCTTTTTCACTGTTTTCCAAAATCCAAAAGGGTTTGTAACTTTTTACTACCCAACTCTTAGATCCTTTACTGAACTGCCGAAAAATGTCCTGTTTGTTCTATGAACGTTCACTAGATGGCAGAATGTGACATGTGGATATTATTTAGCTGTAGTTTGCAGTTTCTGGGAAGCAATTGAAACACTATTAACCTATGTACGGTGTCAACAGTTCAAGCAGACATTGCAGTGAAGTAAGCTATATATGTGGACTGAACCAAGTTCTCCTCTTTAGAATGTTTCAGTTTGTCTAGTGGACTGGTGGTACCCAAGGAAAAGCATACGCAAATTTGACTTTACAGTGCAGACATGCCTCTGGTGGCAACCTGGTAATGTGGGCATTCCTTTTTTCACATTCAAGTACTGATGGCTGTAAATGAAGAGAGCCACCTTTTTTCTCTTGACTTTGATAGCACATGCTAAAAATTTCTTCCAAAAAGTGTGCTAAAGCTTTGTATTTGGTTCCTGTTAGAGCTCTCACTGGCCAGCCTGGACTCGGGCAGCTCAAAGCTAAGCGTTCCACTGCGTATGCTCAAACCTGCTTGACAACACACCACTTCTTTTCCATGTCATTCAAAGAGCTTCTGGTAAAAGGACGGAATCTTTTCCAGTGTCAACTAACATTTGGCCACAGCAAATGAAATGTCTTTAAGATGTCAAGGGTTACCACTCACTAAGAACTTTAGCCACCCTGTCTAATACCTGATACCAGTTCCTCTCAAGTGCCCAGTCGTGTGAAACACTTCACATATTGGTCCCAAAGTATGTAAGGAGGTCTCTTTTGCTATGGGAGGAAAAAAAAAAAAAAAAAGCTTGCTTAGAACAGTATTTATTTTTAATTTTGTGACCACTATTTAGAAACTTTATTTAATGTTTTTAATGTTTTCATTCATTGCTTCGGTTATCAACTAAATAGGCTTTTTTGCCTTACTGTTTCTTTGATAGAACTCAGTGTTGATTTATTGAAGGATAATCACAATTGCTTATCAAAGCCTAAGAACCCAGCTCTGTAGAAGGGATTCTCACACTGGCATTTCTAGGTAGGGAAATTTTCTTCCACTTACCTGCTGAAGCACGTTTGTATATTTCTTTTTGGCAAAAGCAAAAACTTTAGTTGTGGTCAGTCTAGTATAACCATAACTCCTCAGCATCAAGGAGAAAGATTCTAATGTCTGAACTATTCAGTAACTGAAGCAAAGTAGCAGAGAAAAACAAAACAAAACACCAATGTGTTAACCTGAGGCTACATCAAGATATTTTACAGCTGATGGTGGTGGTGGTGGTGGTTGTTTGCCTTGAAATCAGTTCTGACTCATAGTGACCCTGTGTGAGGCTGTAAATCTTTACGGGAACAGAAAGCCTTATTTTCTCCCTGCTGGCCTTGAGGTTAGCAGCCCAACTCGTAACCACTAAGCTACCAGAGCTCCTTCGACAGGTGATAGAGAAGTATTAGCTTATGAAAGCGGTGGGAAATTCCACTGTTTCAGGCCTGAAGGGGTCCTGGTAGGGCGGTGATTGAAACAAGCCACAGGAGAAAGCTCTGTAAGGATGTACAGCCTATGGGCCAGTTCGCCTTGACCTACATGCAGGGTTACTGTAAGACAGAATCGACCCAAAGCACTGGGTTTGGTGTGGGGGTTAGTGACTGAGTTTTTTTAAAAGTTTTTAGTCCCTTAAAGTCATGTTTGTCAAGTGTTTGTTCCCACATTTACTTAAATCAAGGGACTCACTGACTGCTTTATTTTAGCCACCTTTTATTAATTTTAGAAGGAAACTAACTTTAGTAGTGGATTGCCCTCCATGTTTTTCTCTAAATATGCCATTGGGGTTATTTGTGTGTGTGATTAATTTTCAAAATTCTCCATGATCTCCATGACTTGAAGTGCAAGGACAGATCTAGAAGTTTGTTTACCAAGCTATAGGACTTTTCCCAAAGGATCTGTACTTTTTTCCCTTACAACAGCTTGAAAACCATTATTTTAAATCGTATATCACTGTGTCTAGATCTGTTTTACATTGTGTGCCATAGACTTACCCATGGAATAACAAGGGCACCTTCATTTTTGAACAACTACTGTAATGTTTTTTGTTTGTTTTTTTAAGGAAAAAAATGGAAGGTGTCAGGGGTAATAATGGTCAGTCAATAATTATATAATGGACTTCAAATACTTTAGCTGTCAGTTGATGGATTTGTTATGTAGTAAAATATATGAATTTGTATGGGTTTCTTCGAACCCTTTCTCTGCCACTAGCAACCAGACTAGCACTTTACCTTTTGGTTGGCTAGATGAGTGGCTGGCTACCTAGTTCTCTCACTGTGGTGTGATTGGCTAATAATCTTGTGTAAAAAAAATTGAAGTCACATGAAAAGTCACCCTTGGTTGTAAACTTTCAATGTTTCAATTATATATCCATTTTTTGTTTGTCCCATGCTGAGTAAAAGTGCCTTACAATGTAAAAATTGTACAGTACTTCTGTTCCCGAGTAGCATCGTCATCTTCTGGGTAGTAACTACATTGTGGTATTAATATTTAGAAAACTGTACCTCAGCAGTGTATTTACTGTACATCTCTGAAGTCCTTAACTGTAGTTTTAATAGGCATGACATCATTTGATAAATATATAGCATTTACATCATTTCAGAAAATAACTGCCATTACTGTCTTTTATGCATTTTTTAGCCTGAAATTTTAAAGCATCTTTTCTTGCCATTCTTTTCCCCCCTTTTGTTTTGTTTTTTGTTATTGATATTAAGCAGTGTAATCTTTGCCAGCGTATATTGAAGATTATTCTGGAGCATTTATTGCCTTACCAGAAATGTTAGTAAGAAATGTTCTTTAGAGTAGAAAGGTAGACTTGAGTTTCTATACTTTAATAAGCGTTCTTTGTTCCTGGGGGAGGGAGGGAGTGAATTTTACTTTCATCTCAATTTATTAAAAACCCACAACTGAAATTTTATTTGAAAAGATCAGCAATTTTAGAATTTCCGATTGTGCTTCCTCAGGAGTACATGCTATTCATGATATTAAGAGAATATTGAGATATGTAGATCTACTGCTGAATCCAGAATCTATGTACTTGAACAAATGTGTGCATCTGAAATATCTCAGAGCAAAATGAAAGTTTCCTGGAGTGTTGTTGCTTTTCTATCTAAGTGCTGACATTAGACCAAGGCATACAGGTTTGTTCTAATGGACATTCAGGTTCATTGTAAAGATAAGGAATGCATCATGGGTCAGAATCAAACATTCCTCTCATGTTATGTATATTTTGTTCCTGTTATATCGGCTTTATTTTCAAAATTGTAGTTTGTAGTATTAGGTTCCTTTTATTGGTATTCTTGCATATACTATTCATTCAATAAATGAGTTATGAATTTCATATTTGTATGTCTTTTTTGTGAAAGCAATTATTATAATAACACTTATTTTATAACTGCAGTTGTATTACTTTCAGCCTTGCCTTATTTCCTGGTCAAATACCGAGTGTGTTTAATAACTTCGTGTTGAGTAAGTATAGGAGAAAGGAATGTGAATTGGAATTCACAATAAAAAAAAAAAAAAGGCAGTCTTTTCCACTCAGTAGGGCTGTGTTACAGCCTGGTCCAAATACCTATGGCTTCAAATCAGGTTCCTTGGGACCTAGTTCAAAAGTGATTTTGAAAATGAACAACCCAAGAATCTTCGTACAACTTATCAGAGTGGGAATAAGATAACAAGACTGAACCTGTATACCTGTTCATAAACAGATTCCACTGTATAGACCGAAATTTTCCTCTATTCCCACGGACAGCTAACTGCTAATACAAGGCTCGTGTACTCAGGTACGCATATCCAGGGCAGAAATCAAAGTTGTAATGAACAGAATATGCTCTTTCCAGGCCCACCACTTCCAGTCTGCATTCTGGTTCAGAGGGAGGGTGTGGAAAATCCAGTCAGAAGTTCTGATGAATTTAATGCTATCACTATTGGACGGTGCGCTCTTCTGCCAATGTTCCCTAGTAGTGGCTGCCATGTGCGTGCCTGCGTTTCCATTCATTATTTCATCTGGTGTGAATTGCTGCAGTACACCAGATGAAATACAGAGCTGGGGAGCTAGGTGGCGGGTTTCAGCTCGGCACTACTACTGACAGCTGTTTCTCTTCAGCCGCAGCCAGCAGCAACTGCTGAAGTCATTCCCAAGCATAAACCCAGTAGAACTGCCTAGAAACATGCCCTGGCCAGCAAAATCTTTCTCTTTAAAGGAAAAAGCCAGTCCCTTGTCTGTTTATTTCTACATCAGAGCCCTCAGTTGTGAAGGCCAAAGGCTACACTTCATCAGTCAAAGCCACCTCATTTTGCTTGGTTCAGACAGTGAAATCACTGGACAGCAGGCTAAAGTTTATTCTTGAGTTTTCAGTCAGAAGATGCAAACTCTAAACTTCCGATGCAAGTTACTGATGACATTTTAAAGTGTTCCCCTGTAGCAGACACAGAATTACACAGGTCAGGGTAACGAAGTCAGTCAACTGGACCTAGGCACTTGGTTGACCCATAAATACTCAACACCTTTGCCTATACCTCTCTCTGGCTACAAATGCGTTTTCATGCGGAGGGTTGCAGGGGAGAGATACTGAGCTCACCAGGCTTGCTTTGTAAATTTCATGCTTGTCTCCAAAGGAGCCCAGTGCATAAATGCAAACGCCAATACTGTGGGAGAGGTGGTCTTTGAAATGGAACTCCAGAAGAATAGGTACTGAAGGCAGGGACAGGAGCTAACATGGACACTGGACTCCTACACATGGTTGAGTGTCTATCAAGTGACTTGTACAAAAGCACTTTTACAATCAGAATAAAAGTCAATCTCTAGCCACAAAAAGGATACATGCTACAGTGTGGACAGACTTCCAAAATACTCTTAAGTAGCCAGACAGGAAAGGTCACCTTTCCTTGGAGTAGCCTGTGTAGGCAGATGAAGAGAGACAGAAAGCAGAGGAGTAGTAGGTGCCTGAGGGCTGGGGGGAGTCAGCATGGGGAGTTACTGCTAAAGGACATAGGATTGCTTACAGGTTGATGAGAAGGTTCTGCAATTAGATAACCTTATGAGTTTAGTGAAGCCCTGAATCATACACTTTAAAAGAATGATTTTCAGGTTAAAGTGAATTGTTGACTCCGTTTGTAAAAAGTAATAGTGTGAAACCTATGAGAGCCAAACTCGAAGGAATTGCTTTCTTGTCCAGGGTTTCCCACGACTGACAGGATGTAGTCTTACAGCATTTCTTTTGCTCATTTTGGTGGGAAATATTTGAGTTTTCCTTCTCAGCTTTCCACCTTACACAGCTTCTCCAGCTTTCATAGGTTTCATGGTGCATGGTCAATAACGAAATTACAAAACTCAGAGATCACAGATAAAGCAGGAGAAAGACACACAACAAAACTGCATCATGACTAAGAC